AGAGAAAGAAAGAGAAGAGAGAGAGAGAGAGAGAAGGCTGAAGCCGAAAGCGCGCGCGAGAGGGATCGTTCGAGGGTGGCCGGAGATGAGGCCGATAGAGCACGCCTTGATGATCCTTATCTACCGTAGGCAGTCCGACACCCGATGACGCGGGCGTGGGCGCTTAGGTGCTTAGGCGACGTAGGCTACGAGTCGACCCGGTGGGATTAGATGGGGTGAGTCGATCTCCCTACCACTCCCGCTCTGCCCGTCCGACCGATATACCCATCCGATAACCCGGCAACGCGGCAAATCGCGATACGTATCGACCCCTTTCCGACGACCGCGAGCGCCGTCGAGCCCCTTCGCTACAAATAAGCTCCCGTACTACTTACCCGTTCTCGCGGTCCCATCCGAGAAGCCGCCGCAGGGGGAGGAAAGGGGAAATCGCTGCTCCCTGCGGGATACTCTGGATTCGCCGTATCGCTCGCGATAGGTATTACCGATTACTTCTCTCCTCCTCCCTCTCCCTCTCTCTCTCTCTCATCGCGAAACCGTCGGGCGTCTTTTAGGATTCCGAGGAACGACGTGATTTCGAGAGGCTCTATCGTGCGAATTATAGTGGTTCTGAGGAAGAGGAGGAAGGAGGGGAAAGGAGGAGCCGGGTCAATTAGGCGCGGTTACGTTGGAAGGAATTAACCCACTTGTAGTTCATGCTTCATCTTTAAAAGTACGTGCTTTTTTAAGATCGCACTCGAATATGATATATAAAATACGCAGAATAATATCACATTTATTATTACAATTATTCTATATACATTATAAAGTGATAAAAAATCTATAGATGACAAAATGAATTTAATTCATATTTTTATTGCATCTTAATGTATAAATTCTTATAGAATTCTTATAGAATCGAGTGTCGTTTTTCGCATACCTTATTTGAGGACAGTGATCAGGGCGGAATTTGTTTCTCGAAATGTCTTGGAGCATTTTAACATGACTACTCGTTTCATAATAGCGGAACGTTACGAGGTTGCACAGTCTGACCGCGCTATAGCGGTAATTTGATCTTGAGATTAAGCCTGAGTAATTCACGAACCATTCTTGAAATTGTAAGTAGCCAGCTCTAAATTAACGTTCCTATTTAACATAGCACAGTGGAGCGATATTTTAAAATTGAAAATATAACTTAAATTATATCAATTAATATTAATTCTCGATATCGCTTACTTGATATCGAAAAGTCATAAATACTTTAGAAAAATTAAGTTGCTTTCGACTTGACTTTTGAAGATTATTTCGCGAAGATCCTTCTCATTTTTATGTCGCAAAATGTCGTATCTCTTTCGTATCGCAGATATTATTTTCGCGAAGATCAAGTTTCTTCCTCTGTATTGCGCGATTGTTCGATTCCCTCGCGGCCGGGTCCTCAAGTCGACAAGTCCGTGCGACGAAGGCTCGCTAGAGCATCCGGCACACGTTTTCCTGCCTCCCTGGGGACGGCGATCGCCGGGACCGAAGTGAATGCCGCACGCGAGCGAGACGAGGACGGCGAGAGAAAGAGAGGGATAGAAACGAGCTCTCGAGTGAAACTCCTCGCACCCGGTATCCGGTATCCACGGCCAATTAGCCGCGCCTCTCTTACCACTTCGGCGTTTCTGTTGCTTTCTTTGTTATCCGCCGCTATAAACACCATCGAGGATGCCCCACGGTGTGCGCGCTGCACCAATTTATGGGCCGTGGCTACCGGAAGCGTGGACTGGCTCCTCTCGAAAGCGATATTGTCATCTCTTCATCGAGAGACTTCACTTGAACGTTCGTCGAACGATTCTTTATTTCAACGAGTTTTCTCTCCGCGCATTAAACTTATTGCCACTGAAAAATAAGTTTCCCGTTTTTTCATATTCATTAAAATATGTACAGTCGTATTTTTTTACTTTGAATAATGAAAGAGTTGGTGAAAGTATTTTATATAAAATGTAGTTTATTTATCTACATAATTTTACAAATGCTGCAAAGAGTGCAGTTGAACGTGTTACGTTACACCGAACTAACTTTGCATGAAAGTAATATATGTAAATATTTTATTGCTTACGCACGCTTCGATGCTGCCCGACGTAACCCCAAATCGCTATTTATGGAGCGGCTGGCTGTCGTATGGAAACATTCCGCCGCACGGTCCCCACATTACAGCAGCTTGAAACGCGTAAAACTGTGGGTCGAAGGAGCCTGCCTGCCTGCCCGATCCCGACCGCGCCAAGTCCCCGCCGGCAAACCGGCCAGGTTTCTGACCAGGGCCTAGAAATGATTTACTACGCGCGGCCCAACGCGCGGGAGAGATCGTCGACCTTGGAAAAGAGGTAGCCGGTGTCGGTCATGGGCCATCATACACCGAAGGGTGGGTTTGGAACTTTCATTGATTGCGGTCAACTGGAGGTCTATTGTGTCCCTCTCACTGCGTGGATTTTCGGCGAACGCCGGCCGCCCCGTTCCCTCTCCCCTATCCTGTTCGCAGTTTGTTTGTCAGGCTGCACGTGACCGGCACGGTATTAGGACTCGAGCCGAGGGGGAAGGGAGGAGCCATCGATCGCGCTGCTCTCTTTATCAAGGCGAAGTAAATCCCGGTTGTATCTTTCCTTCGCTCGGGCCCGGGCCCGGCTTTATCCAGCGACATCGCGCCCGGAATACATTGAGAGGCTGCGAAATGCCAGCCGGCCTCGACAGTTTCCGCAAATCTGCCCCCACGATGTGTGGCCATGTGCGTAGGCGACGGTCGTGTGGCGTGTTTGTTCGCCGAACTAATCACTCCGGCGGCGCAATTAACCGCGCATTTATGGCTCGGGTTCTGCAATAAAACGTGCCGCTGTCGGAAAATTACGGCCGGACTGTCGCGATTATTCCGCTGCGCGATTACACGCGCGTCGAATGCGCGCGATTGTTTTTAGGCGAGAATACACCGAGTCCGACCACGCATTTTCACGTTTATCGGAACAATCGCCTCGATCGTTTTCGAGGGACGATCATTGCCTCTTTCTTCCGACGATCGAATCGATATCCGATAACGCTTCATTTGATCGCTTTCGTGCTACGAGCATCGTCTCCGTATAAAAACGCGTTATCGCGAGACGGCCTGTAAAATGTTTAAACGATAACGCGCGGGTAGTTATCGGGGCACCGAATGCAGCTCTCGCCGCCACCGCCCGGAATTATCTCCCTCGACAACGATATCGATTGTCCCGTCAGATAGCGCGCCGCGTGAGTCGGCACTTCGTCGTTCCGCTTCTTTCCTTTTTGATCCGCCGGCGGGATAAGCGGGGCCGGGCCGGGCCGTTCCGTTCCGGACGGACTCACCATCGCGACATGATCGATTTTCGCGCCGCGCGACCGCTCCCGGCGAGATATTATTCCTTCGTCGGCGTTGCGGCGACGGAGCGCGATCGATACGCTCGCCGATCTGTCGCCACGGAACGAAACGGCGTGCGACGAGCGAGAGGCGCGCTGCAATTCTCTCCGACTATTTAACCGACCGCGACGAACTTTCTTCGAATCCTCGTGGCGCGACGCCGGAGCGGAGCGGTCGCCGCCGGCTGGTACTTGGCCCGCCCCGTTTCGCTCGTTTTCTTTTGCAGCCAGCGTGAAACGAGCGAAAACTCGCCGCGCCGGAGTCACGCAGCCGGCGATTTTCAGCAGGTCTCTACTACGCCGTGTAACCGTCGTAATCCGTTGTCGAGAAAAGATTTTGGCTTCCAAATGTCGGCACGAAATACGCTGAAAAAAAAAAGATTAAATTTCACTTTAATACTCGAAACATTTCCGAAAAGTATCGGATTTTTATTTTGGCACTACACAAATGCGGGAATATACTGGTTTTTTATTTTGATACTATAAATATGACTTCCTATTTGATTCTACAAAAATAAAATTTCTTTATAAAAGATTTATATCAATCCTGTATAATCGATTGAGATATTCGAGAACTATGTATTCAAATTCCTTTATTAAATACTAATCTTGTGTTCTACCAATAGCGTATAAAATTACAGGAGAATGAGAGTTATCGTATTTTCACACTTTATAGAGCTTGGAATATCTGATACCGAGTTTCACTAATTTAATATGAAGATCGCGTTTGATTTCTCAGAATATTTCGTTGCAATTGAATCGATAGTAATACATATTAGCACGATCGATAGTGTTAAGCGTTTCTTCGGTTGAAAATCGTCGATACTAGTCGCAATATTGTCTTTTCATTAAAATTTTAAAGAGTGAGCGCACGATCGTAAAGTGTCGAGTATTAACATTATTATTCATCGAGATTAGTTTATTTGAAAAGAAAGCAAAAATACACAAAGTTTTTCATGTTTCTTTTGTCAAAGGCGCCACTGTTTAACAAAATTTACTCACACTACAAGTTCGAAAGCGGAAACACACAAAAATAATGATACAAATACAACGAACTAAATACATTTGTTTGAAATAATTAATATATACGATTAATTAATATATTATATATTCCGCGCTGGCACACGCATATGTAGTTAAAGTACATTCCGAAATTGCGTCGGCGGAACTCCGTTTCGAATTAACACTTGCGAGTTAATGAGTAAAATTAGCAACTAAACGCGTCGAAATTCGTATCGGGTGCCCCTCACGACGACCGGTCTCTCGTCGTCATTTAACCGAGCGCGCTTCCGTTTCATTCGATCCACCAGCGGGGCGAGTTCGCGCGAACGAGTTCCACGTAGGGCGACGGGACCATCGATTTCCAGGCGGCGTCCCACGGCGGCGGTGGAAGCGGTGGAGGCGGCGGCTGCGGTGGTTCGTGGCGCCGTGAAAGAAGTCGGGGCACGGACATTTAAATCTAAAAACGGCCGGGCAAAACTCCCGACCCCTGGGTAATTGGAGGGTCGCGGAATTTGTTGCTTCGCCGACGTGGTGTGAGAGAGGAGGACGAGAACGACGAGGTAGAAAGGATGAAGGGAAGAGGAGGAAGGGAGGGACGCTAAAATACGAGCGCCGGTTAAACGCGGGCGGGCAGGCAGGCAGGCAGGCAGGCAGGCAGGCAGGTAGAAAAGCCGAGAGAGCGAGGGAAAGAGCGCGCGCGCGCGCGCGCGCATGTATGTGTGTATACGTCGGTGTATGTTGCGTATGTGTGTGTATGTGAGAGAGAAAAGGAGAGAGATCGCAGGAGGGAAACGGCGGAAAAAGAGCAAGAGAGAGACAAGTGGCTGACGCGATGAGGAATCGCAAGAGCGGTTGCGGAGCGAGAACGAACCTGGGCGCGCCGCAAATCCGTCGTCCGCGCGCAAGTATAAAGCGAGTTAGAGCGCGCGGAGAGTTGTCGGTGGCGACGGGCGGCTCCGGGATAAAGAGCGAAGCGGAAGCGCGACGTGGAAGGAGAGAGAGAGACCGCGAGACGAAGGGAGAGACGAAGGAAAGCGTATGCACGGGGACCGGCTGCGTCCGGGAAGAGCAGCGCGGTACTTGCACTCCGACTATCCACGGTCCGAGGCGCGCGGCGCGAACGTAGCGAAAAACGGAAGCGCGCGGGAAAAAAAAGGAAGAAGACGCTTCCTCGCTATGAGACAGAAACGACGAGAGAGAGACGTAATGGGTCGTAGGCGCGAGGTTTGCGTGTAATTGGATTCATCCCCCGGGCGCTAAACGCGTCCCGCGCGTCCTTCCGCTTTCGCTCCCCTTCCCGCGCCTCGTTCATCCCTCCCCGCTGAAGCCCTAGGTGCGAACCGCCGTTGTCGTCCTTCCTCCCGCCTGACGTCTCCACCCACAACTCGCCTCTCGACCGAATTAACCCCGTGCTATCGCGAGACAGACGACACGAGAGGAGGGGAGTCGGCGGGCGGCGGGAGCCTCTCCGCCCGCGTCGCCTTCGCTCTTATCTTCGTAACTTTTCCGCGGTTGCGCCTGCCGACGTCCCTCGGTGCTTTCTGCGCACCCCCCCTCACGTTCCGCCGCGTGTCTACCTTAACGCGCGAAATTTCCAACTTCCGCCGCCGCGGCGGGTCGTAAAACTCACGGTAGCCGCGGGAGACCGGCTCTAAGCAAAGAGTTGGAGAAAGATGGAGGTCGGGCGCGACGGAGAAAGGAGCATCGCGTGCGAGCGAGCGAGCTCGACGGTGAAATAGGGACTTCGTGGCACGGTGAGAGACAGACAATCGAGGAGGAGGGGGCTTATGTGCGAGTTGCGTGAGCTCCAGAGTGTGTACACTCTCCGGCGCCGAACCGGGGCGGATGTAAAAGGTTGTGTATAGCGCGTCGCAACCCGCCTCGGAACCGCTCGCGGCCGCTCTTCAACGTGGGCGCGCGACGCTCGGATCCCGTGCATGTGTGTTGGATCGTGGTATTTAAAAGTTTGTTCCGTTTGACAAAAAAAACACCGCAGTTGGAAACGGTAGTTGGCAATGAGCGCGTTTCTGCGTCCTTCTGCGCACACCTAGGTTGCAAACTCTCACTGTCTCGTTTAATCGCCGACCGAGAGGCGCGCTAAAAATTGCTGTCTACGCGCTTCGAAAACAATTATCGATCCGCAGCGATCGAAACTGGCAAGGAATTGCCTCGGGATGGAGCATAATTAAGATTTATTTTTTAAGATCATTTTTTACACTCAATGTTTTCTTTTATATTCAATATGTGATAATTCTCACAAAAATAGAAGCTGGCACATTTGCCGGAGCTTCTAAATCTTCGCAATCTCGAGAATCTATATCCAGCCTTACTATTGTAAACCGCCGTTGTATCTGCAGTCGACGGTGACGCGTTCCCCTTTGAAATCCGAACTGGCGCAGAGAGGCCGATCGGTCTGAGCGCTTTCCAAACGATTGATTCAACCGAACGAGCCTACATGATCCTCGGGTACACCCGGTATAATCGTCCTACCATTCGCGGGACCGTTCGCTGGCGGCTCTGGGCTTTTAGCGGGCCACGATCGGCCAGCTGGTGGTGTCGTTGTTTCGCCGATACGGGGAAGCCAAGCCGGGGAAAAAAAGAGTCGGGCGTGGTGATACAAAGGGGTTTCGGAAAAAAGGGTTGCAAAAGAGAAAACGAGAGAAAAGCCTGCCTGACGAAGAAATAGGATGGAGAATGTGAAAAGAGAAAAAAAAATAAAGAGAGACGAAGAGAAGGGAAACGCGAAGTTGTGAGCTTGGCCCGAAAACGGCACGACTCTCCGCCCGGTTTGGCTTGGCCCGGCTCGGCCTCGTGCTCGACCCTGCCTGGCCTACAGCGCTCTCCTCCTCCTCGTCCTCCCCGTCTCCCTTCACTCCCTCTTTTCCTCCTCACTTCGCCTGCAATTTCCAACTCCTCTTCCTTCTCTCTCTCGCGAGAATGCCGAACGCGAGCGTCTAGTTAATGAGGCGCACGCACACACGCTCGGGCGCACGCGCAGCGTGCTCGTCGTCGTCGTCCCGGTACCCCCCTGCTTCGCCGACGGCCTCCCTCCTTCGACATTTCCCCCTGCTGCCGTCTCTGCCGCCCGCTTCTTTCACCGTTGCCGCCGCCGCCGCCGCCGCTGTCGCTGCCGCCGCCGCGGCCTCGAACACAATGCGCCACGTCGCGCTGCCTAGGCGTCACGGTAATGACATACTCCCACATGCATGCGCGCCGTCCGATATCGCACCATCTACTAACAGCGGCGGCGGCGGCGGCGGCGGCGGCGGCGGTGGCGGTGACGGCGGCAGCGGCGACAGCATCCGCGGTAGCAGCTGCAGCCGGCTGCCGTTGCCCGCCAGGAAGCTACCGCGAGTGTGCGAGCGAGAGCGGTGATTGATCGCGTCGCGAAATCGCTCGGCCTATCAAGCAGCCTACGATGAAACTGACACTGAAGGGACATCGCGTTTTTTTCCACGAGCATTTTTTTTTTGGGAGGGGAGAGACTTATTTCACACTATAGATATAATTATCGGCCGACTTTGCGCGAAGCGCAAAGCGTGTAAAACGCTCTTATTTTATCACACGTCAGCGATGGACTTGATTAAATTTCGCCACGCTCCGAATACTAAGTGGATAACTTACACAGGAAAATTAGAATTTCTCAGCGCTTAGAAAAAAGTTCAATTTGGCGTAACAATCTGCAAATGAATACAAAGGAACCCAGGGACGATTTGTATGAAAAAATCAAGCAAGTTTTGACATCGTAGGAAAATATTTTTCGATATTTTTCGGACAACAGTCTCTATGTTAATGCACGTCGAAATATGTTGTTTTTTTTTCCCGCCGAAGGGAACTTTTCCGATATAGGAAATGAACACACGCCGTTAAAACGTAAGCGACTATAGAGTTTGGTAAACTTTACGTATTTAAATTGCTGTTGTTATCGTTTCGGACGGTTGTAGCGAGTTTGTCGATGCCGGGGGAAGCGTTTAAAATCCGCGGAAAGACACTTCGATCCTCTGATACTCGTGCAGATCGATACACGGGCCCGCACTGGATCCGACCGTAGTCCGCAGGGACCGATATTCCCGCATGCAATCAGATATCGTGGTACCTAGCAACAGCTACAACGCCGGTGACGGCGGCAGTGGCGGCGGCGGCGGCGGCGGCAGCATCATATATCGATGCGGCCGGTTGTTGGAGGATTGGAAGCTATTCTCGGGCCATCTGATGTGCCTCATCTTAACGATGAAACGAGCGAGATCAAACCGTTTAGCAGGAGCAAATAGTCACGATCCCATCTTTCTCACTAGATAATGTTGAGATAAACACTTGAAATGTACACTGGTTGCGTCTATTATTCATTGTTTCTAAAAGCCATC